GTGCCATCCCAGATAAAAAACATATCTAAAATATGTTACAAGGTTCGTACACCAAGCGTGCCTTCCCCATATGGCCGTGGATTCCCAGTCGGCCATAAAGAGGTTGGCATAGCTTGGCGCGAACCTTGTACCCATCGCATTGCCTTGTTTTTGTAGGTAAAAGGAGTCAAAAAAACAAAAATAGTTGTTGGTTAAAATGATATTAATACCTTCTAAAATAAAATCTATTTGGGCAGGGGGGATTCTGTTTTCTTTAGTTAAAATTTATCTGATTGCCTGGCATCCTATATGGTGGGGTATAATCGTATATAGGGATTGGACATCACAAGTAGCTAAAATGTAATTAATTTGCAATTTGAATTTGTCTAAAAAACGTAGTAGTAAGATACTAAGAGTTGTAATATGTGTATAGTGTCTTTCAGATATGCTGGGTTTTTTGATACTATTGGTTGTAGCAGTAAGTCAATGTACTCGGAGACTCTAGAGGAGATGGAATCTATCCCAGATATAATCGGACGCCCTGGGGGATTTTTCAGGTCTTTATGAACTTTGGGAAGATAATAAAAAACTGGAATTTTGGGATAGGGGATTGATAAATATTCTCCTTCTTTTTTTTTGTTAGTATGCCCTTATCTATACCTTTTTGTATGTATTTATCAAATGTATCTTTCACTTTACTAGTTGGATCTAATTTTAGTTTTTTATAGGTATTTTCATCGGAGAGGATTCTCTCAGACTCTTTTAGATATTGTGCTTTAGAGAGAATTACTACCCCCCTCCTTTATCCGCTGATTTGATAACTAAATTTTCATTCTTTTATATTTTTTTCAGAGTGTTTTGTTCTTTCACTGGCATATTGTCTTGATATGTATTTATCTTTTTTTAATTTTATTTATTTCCGCCATATCTGTGGTTTCAAAAGCTCTCATTTCATTTGAGATCATATTTTTTGGGGAAAAAAAATAGACCTTTCTTTTAAATCGGTGTGTATAAAGTTGGATTCATTTTCCTGATCCTGTCTTGTTTGTGTCCTATTTTCCCCATCGTGAAATAATTTCTTTAAACATAATTTTCTTAAAAATTTGTTCATATCAATGAATAATTCAAATTTATTTAATTTATTTAATACCAGACACCTATCTTGGTCCATTCAACATTAACTCTCAAATCGATCTAGTCTCATTCAGTGTATCACTTCCCAAAGTCATATTTAATCTTGTTTTTATATGTCCCTTCTTACACCTTAGGTAACTGATCCCAATTCACTATCCAGATCCTGCCATGCCACTACTCCCATAATCACTGATAATGAAGAGGAATACAAAATTAGCATTATTGATTCTAGTTGTTGTTGCAGGCATATTTAATATCAATACATTGGAAAGGATATTGTCCAAAAGATACTCCCTGGATAGTGTACTGGGATGTAGTATCCATGCTAACTACCCAAATAAGCCGGTTCCTTGGGGCACCATGGGGGTTCGAGTCGGTTGTCTTATTTGACTTATTACCATAATAAGATAATACCTTTAAGGGCTGGTTATTTAATTAAGGGTTCTTTGTTATTTAAACTCATGTATCCATAAGATCAGGACTCGATTAAAGGGACACTAGAGTCACCAAAACAACTTTAGCTTAATGAAGCAGTTTTGGTGTATAGATCATGCCATGCAGTCTCACTGCTCAATTATCTGTCATTTAGGTGTTAAATTGCTTTGTTTATAAACTCTAGCCATACCTCCCTGCATGTGACTTGCAGAGTCTTCCTAAACACACCCTGTATAGAGTAATCTATATATTATACTTCCTTTATTGCAAGTTCAGTTTAATTTAGATTTTCTTATACCATGCTATGACAATAGCTTGCTAAACCCTGCAAAAGCCTCCTGTATGCAATTACAATTCAATTTACAGATAAAGAGATACAACTGTTTAAGGTAAATTACATCTGATTGAAAGTGAAACCATTTATGTTTTTTTATTTTTTATTATTATTTATTTATTTTATTTATTTATTTTTTCATGCAGCTGTGTCAATAAGAGCAAGGGGGGTGCATAAACAGAAACAAAGTTATTTAACTCATAAATGGCAGTGAATTGAGCAGTGAAACCTGATATGCATGATCTATACACTAAAACTGCTTCATTAAGCTAAAGTTGTTTAGGTGACAATAGTGTTCCTTTAAGTACTGTGATTGTCTGTTTACTCTCTAGTTGCAGCTCATGCTTGATGGTATTGATTCCTGCCTTTCTAACCATGACTTCTGTAGAAACATAGAAACATAGAATGTGACGGCAGATAAGAACCATTTGGCCCATCTAGTCTGCCCAATTTTCTAAATACTTTCATTAGTCCCTAGTCTTATCTTATAGTTAGGATAGCCTTATGCCTATCCCACGCATGCTTAAACTCCTTTACTGTGTTAACCTCTACCACTTCAGCTGGAAGGCTATTCCATGTATCCACTACCCTCTCAGTAAAGTAATACTTCCTGATATTATTTTTTAAACCTTTGTCCCTCTAATTTAAGACTATGTCCTCTTGTTGTGGTAGTTTTTCTTCTTTTAAATATAGTCTCCTCCTTTACTGTGTTGATTCCCTTTATATATTTAAATGTTTCTATCATATCCCCCCCTGTCTCGTCTTTCCTCCAAGCTATACATGTTAAGATCCTTTAACTTTTATCCTGCAATCCATGAACCAGTTTAGTAGCCCTTCTCTGAACCCTCTCTAAGGTATCAATATCCTTCTGAAGATGGTCTCCAGTACTGTGTACAATACTCCAAGTGAGGTCTCACCAGTGTTCTGTACAATGGCATGAGCACTTCCCTCTTTCTACTGCTAATACCTCCCTATACAACCAAGCATTCTGCTAGCATTTCCTGCTGCTCTATTACATTGTCTGCCTACCTTTAAGTCATCAGAAATAATCACCCCTAAATCCCTTTCCTCGTATGTTGAGGTTAGAACTCTATCAAATATTCTGTACTCTGCCCTTGGGTTTTTACGTCCAAGATGCATTATCTTGCACTTATCCACATTAAAATGTCAGTTGCCACAATTCTGACCATTTTTCTAGTTTACCTAAATCATTTGTCATTTGGCTTATCCCTCCTGGAACATCAACCCTGTTACATATCTTAGTATCATCAGCAAAAAGACATACCTTACCATCAAGACCTTCTGCAATATCACTAATAAAAATATTAAAGAGAATGGGTCCAAGTACAGATCCCTGAGGTACCCCACTGGTGACAAGTCCAAGCTTCGAATATATTCCATTAACTACAACCCTCTGTTGCCTGTCACTCAGCCACTGCCTTACCCATTCAACAATATTGGAATCCAAACTTAAAGATTGTAGTTTATTGATAAGCCTTCTATGTGCAACAGTGTCAAAGGCCTTACTGAAATCTAGGTAAGCAATGTCTACTGCACCACCCTGATCTATAATTTTAGTTACCCAATCAAAAATCAATAAGATTAGTTTGGCATGATCTCCCTGAAGTAAACCCATGTTGTCTCTGATCTTGAAATCCATGTGTTTTTAGATGTTCATCAATCCTATCCTTTAACATGGTTTCCATCACTTTCCCCACTACTGAAGTAAGGCTTACTGGCCTATAGTTGCCCCACTCCTCCCTATTACCTTTCTTGTAAATGGGCACAACATTCGCTAACTTCCAATCTTCTGGGACTACTCCTGTTAACAATGATTGGTTAAATAAATCTGTTAATGGTTTTGCTGTATTCCCTGGCTTTCTGATTTTGGCTTTATTTACTAACCTTATCTTCTCATAATTATTCAACTACTGACCTACTGCTGACCTGGAAGGTTTGGAAGGAATGTGCTCTATTTTAGCTCAGACAAATTGCACAGCATTGTCCTAAGACTTGGTTTATCATTTAATTCTGATCACTATATGCCCTGGCTTAAAGGGACACTCCAGACACGTAAAGCATGTTAGCTTGCTGAAATGCTTTGTGTGTGAAAAAGTATGATTTTTTTTTTTTTTTTTTAAAGTGCAGATTTTAACAGTAATTGACACTTGTATAAATTAACCTGGTTGCACCCCCTAGCTTTTCAAGCAAAGATGGTTTGGGTAACTTATTTGCACTGAACTGATGAAACAGCAATTTCCCAGAACACCTACCCCGCAGACTTCTCATTGAGCTGCATGAGTTTGCAAGTCAGCAGACAAGAAATTACAGTTTTTGCAACATGTTTCTAGATATAAAGCCAGTGAAAAAATGCATAAGTAAATGCATGCAGTTTTTATTTGGGGTATATCTACTAAACAGTGATTTCCATTTATTTTGTATTTAGGCAGTGGAGTACCGCTTTAAGAACCCGAACCTCGACAAAGTAAACTCATTTCTGTTGCAAACCTAAAACAGACTGATAGGTTGGCTTTAACATTGACATGGTTAACAGATATTTTACCTACCACAGAACAATTAACTGATACTGACCTGGCTCATGTATATGGCTTCTGCAAACTACATGGACTACAAATCATTTGGCTTCTGCATAAAGCACCTTTCCCAGACAGACTTCCCGGTACTTATTCTCAGACTGCCTTATTGTTTATTTGTCTCTGGATCCACACCTGCCTCATCACAATAGAGGTAAAATCATCTAGTTTTTTGCTTCATCACCAATTATACCTGCATATTATATTATCTCTCTCTACTAAGCTGCAATACGACTTGTGTTTTAATTTTCCATATAATTGTTGAATTACAGAGTTCACTATCACTCTACTGTGATACTCCTGAAATCACTACTGGCTATGACAATAGCTTGTGCGGAATGCAGGCAGTTACCATTTATTAAGTGATTGATGTGTTTTAACACAAACTGATTTTTTGTCAGAATTTGATCACTTAGATTTGTACAAGTGTGCCAAGCACAATTTATTTTTTTGGTCAAGATGTTAATGTTATACTGATTTATTTCTACACCTACATATACAATGATATTCAAACAGTCACTTACCACACACCCTGTTGAGTCAATTTTGCGTTCTGAGACACATTTAAAGTTGCGTGAACAGCCACCATTACTGAGTGTGCAATTGCGTACTGGACCAAAAGAAGATAGTAGGTCATCAACTGATTCAAATTGGGTGGCAAGAAAGGCTTCCTTTCTATGGGGGAAAAATAAGAAGGGACTGTAACTATGTTATAGTGAACACAATTAGAATACACAGAAAAAATGCATTGTTAGTACAGATTAATTTTATATTACCTGGGTACCCTACTTCCTCTCTGATAGTCCATCTCTAATGCTTGGGGACTTTGAAATTCCCATTAACCCACCTTTGACCTCAGCAGCCTCTAAACTACTTTTTAATTACTCCCTCTTAATTTCCCCACCCATGTACCTGGCAATACCCTTGACCCTTATTTTCTCTAATGCATGTACAGTGTTTAATATTTCCAACACTCCATTTCCTTATAATTTGTTCAGGAGTACCCCCTCACCTCAGGAGGAACCTTAATTGTATTGACCTCCAGCAGCTTTCAGCTGATATTAATTCACAACTGCTATCTGTCCCTCACTGGCCATATCCACATTTAATAAAAAAATTTTTAAAAAAATGTTTTACCTTGAATGTATAGTACACTTGGTAAAAGATGATGAATTTCCCTTATATATAGAGAGAGTATACTTGGTAACAGTATAATTTACCCGTACAGAGATATAAACAAAACATGACATGTGTAATCTGTATGTACATTAAATAAAAGGGAGGTTCTAAGCTCGAAACACTCACAATGTATCGAGCCAATTAAAGTTGGCTATGGACTTATAGGGCATATATGTCTCCTTTAAAGACATGGACAGCCTTTCTCCATTGGATGAGTCCCCCAATAAGTATATATTTTTTTGAGATAGTAGAAAGTTGGAATCCCAGAACCAGTAGTTGGAGATATTTTAAAAGTAACTTTGTATTACTATATGTTATATAAAACAAATAAAAATGCACATGTTTCAACCATAAGCATATGGTCTTTCTCGGGTGCTGCTGAATGTTACAATGCAGGTAAAACTGTTTATATATGTTACAACATCAATAAAACATAATAACATAATTAATCACACATGCTAATTGAATACACCCATTTCCATATATGGTCTGGGCCAGATGTACACCTGCCACCCCTAACATAGCGGTACCTCCGGTCCGGACATATCCAACCTCGCCATATTGGTGGTTTTAAAAGACACTTTACAAAATATATACAAGTATATAGCATGTCACATCAACATGATATAGCTTCCTTTTGGGTAGAGACAACAACAACATTATGAGTAACATGTTGGTGTCTCCTTCCCCGGGATATGAATAGAAGTATCTGTGGATGCGTTGTGTCACTTCCTGTGACTTGTCGATCTTCAGTTTAATCTGTCGTGCCATTCCCGGTTCTGCTGTACATATAAAAATGACACTTTTCCGTCGCCTATGGTTGCCTGTCAGGCTCATATGGCGAAATGTAGCATAGTTTACATATATTTGAAGTTGCAGACACCATTTTCAAAGAGGTAAAAAGTCCCACATATGGAAATTAAAATATAAATACAAAAGATATATATTATAAATATATAAATCACACACATTAAAAGGGAATATATTGTATAAAGGAATACATAAAAAAAAAAAAATATATATATACCCAACAAAATAGAATATATATATATATATATATATATATATATATATATATATATATATATATATATATATATATATATATATATATATATAAACCCAAACCAAGACAAATATACTAGAAAATATCTAAAACATATATGTATGTATTATAAAATATTATTGCTCCCAAAGACAATGTTCAGTCCTTTTAGGGGTTAATGTGCGTAGCTCAAATATCTATTTGGATTATTGTATACTAAGAGCCTTGGCAATATCACCTCCTCTCCAGTTTATGTTCACCTTATCAATGGCACAAAAATCGAAGTATTTTTGGTCAGAGTCATGGTATTCCAAAAAAACATGTTTGTGCCAAGTTATGTCAAGGGGACCAAGTTTGCGCCAAGTTATGACAATCTTTTCATGGCTTATTGGGAAGAATCATATGTTCATCATGGGCATGACTATGGTGCATACTTGGTCCTGTACAAGGGATATACAGATGACATTTTTATTATTTGGAAGGGATCTAATTAATCTTTTCTTCAATTTTTTGAACATCTAAACCACAACAACTGGGGCATCATTCCTTCAAAAAAATTTAGTGCAGATAACATTGTACTTTTTTATTCACAATAATATTTTAACCCCTTAAGGACCAAACTTCCGGAATAAAAGGGAATCATGACATGTCACACATGTCATGTGTCCTTAAGGGGTTAATGACCCAAACCTTCTTCAAACAAGTCAATGTCAACAGTTTCATTTAACTAGAGAGTGGTCATCATCACCCTTGGTTGACAAACATACCCAAAGGACAGTTTTTAAGGGTACGCAGAAACTGTACGAATCAGGAAGATTGCATTACCCAATCAACAGTCCTTAAAAATAAACTTGAACAAAAAAGGTTATGATAAACCAGATCTGCGAGACAGCATCAATACAGTTGTCAATATAAAGAAAAGGAGGCAAATGTGTCCCTATAATATAGAGTTAATAAAAATCTTGAGGATACTTTATTTACACCAAAAAGGTGGTGCATATATCTAAATATAACTGTCTAACTCAGACGAAGAGAAATGTGTGAGGGGCATACACACAGGAAAAAAAAAAAAAAAGGTGGGGGGGTGGGTGAGTGAATACAAAACAGAAAAAGAAAGGTAATTAACATAAATCCAAATAAGTGGGCTCATAATCAGCCAAATTCTATGATTACCAAAATTAATCACTAGGTTACCGTGGAATGAACGGTCCAAACCGCAGCGCAAATGCCGTGGAGGAGACACCGTTCAGGTCTTGACAACGTTCTGACACCTCTTCCACATTTACGTTTGCATCCCTCTTCTCTCTACTTGCCGTGGTCTAAATTTGCCATCCTGCAATAGCCCAGTGACATTTTTGGGTATCTCCAGGATTAGGCTATTTGTTAGCCATTCTAGTTAGCAGGAAGCAACATATTGATTAGTCCTGATATCACTGTCTGCATCCCTCTCTGCTCCACAGCATTAGAGCTGCAGTTTGGACCGTTCATTCCACGATAACCTAGTGATTCATTTTGGTAATCGTAGAATTTGGTTGATTATGAGCCCACTTCTAGTTATTGGGAAGCAAAATACCGATCAAGGTACTGTTTAAAGCTTAGCTACAGAGCCACTACATCTTATTAGTAATTTCTGAGCTTTTTGCTCTTTCAATTTTTATTTTCTCTGTACTTCACTGTTACTAGTGTCCATGAAGGCACTATTCCTATCTATCTGATTTGTTCTTATCTAGTATGTGCTTTCCATCTATTTATTTAGGTATCTTACAGATTCACTATTTAGTAAGTCTGGTTGGACATCTAGCCACTGCACTGATCGTGTTTTATTTGGGTTGTGCAGTGCTACATGCTCTATTGTTTTGTATGATTCACACACTAACTAGTACATTTGTCTATACAGAACTAGATTTCAGGTCTTCAATTGACAGTTCACACTGGCTCGATAGTGCCTCCTGTTAAAGCCTCTGACTGTGAATGAATTGTTACGAACCACTACATTATACATTGTATTTACCTAATGATACATTCTTGTAATACTTGTAGCAAGCTGATGATATTGAGTCAACTATCTGCACATCTTATAGTTTCCTTCTCATACTACAGTATTTGATTCTACTACACAGTTTTTAAGCAGCTTCGCTTGTTACTTTGTTTTTTTTAATTAAATTGTGACCTTGGAGATCACTGTTATTAGCTTTGCTCCAGATCACTAATTTGGATTTATGTTAATTACCTTTTTCTTTTTCTGTTTTGTATTCACTCCCCCTCCCCACCCCCGCCTCCCATTTTTTTTTTTTTTTTTTTTTTCTTTGTCTCATTACCTTAGGGTTATTACCTTATCTGTTCTCTTGATTTTTGGACAATCCCTCTGGCCAACTTGTCTTGTTACAGTTGCCAATATAGATAGATCTCTTTTATTGCAATATAAGAAAAAAAGGAGATAACCTCCAATAAAACCAAAACTGAACAGATTCCATTTATTTTTTAATTTCTCCAGCAATGTTGGTGCCGTTAAGAAAATAATAAACAAAAAATTGGCACATTTTTGAACAAGAAAAAGATGTGCAAAAGTATATAGGTATCAAACCAAAGCTTATTTGCATGGGTGCTAGAAACCTAAAACAGATTCTGACTACCAGCTTTATAAAAAATGAAGCCCCAAGAAATGTCTTAAAGAGTTGGACACAAGAAGAAAAGGTGTTTTTTTTTTTTTGTTTTTTTTTTTCATTGTGGAACTTTGTTGCAACACCACAATATTGAATAAGAAAGTAGAAAACTTGTATTCTACTGTTACTGAAAGAAAATATCAAATCAAATCCCGGATTATGTCTCATTCCTCTAATGTTATCTATCGGGTGTTGGTGTAGTTGCGGTTTTCAATATGTGGGGAAGACATCCCGTCAAGTAAAAATTAGAACAAGTGAACATCTCAGGAACATTAGAAAGGGCTTCCCCAACCACAGTGTATCCAGACATTTTTTTTGGAATACCGTGACTCTGATCCAAACTACTTAGATTTTTGTGCAATTGATAAGGTGAACATAAACTGGAGAGGAGGGGATATTGTCAAGGCTCTTAGTATACAAGAATCCAAATGGATATTTGAGCTACGCACATTAACCCCTAAAGGATTAGACATCGACATTGAATGAGATCAATAATATTTTATTTCCCCTCCTTTTCTTTATTTGTATATTAGTTTTAATTTTCGGGGAATATTTATTCCTTTATACAATACATTCCCTTTTAATGTGTGTGATTTTTATATTTATAATTATATATTTTGTATTTCTATTTTAATTTCCATATGTGGGACTTTTTACCTCTTTGAAAATGGTGTCTGCAACTTCAAATATATGTAAACTACACTACATTTCACCATATAAGCCTGGCAGGCAACCATAGAAGAGGGAGAAGTGTCATTTTTGATATGCACGTCAAAACCGGAAATGATGCGACAGACTAAACTGAAGTTCGACACGTCACAGGAAGTGGCATGACACATCCACAAATACTTCTATTCATATCCCGGGGAAGGAGACACCAACGTGTTATGCATCATGCTGTTGCTTTCTCTATCTAGAAGGGAGCTATATCATTTTGATGTGACATGCTAAATATGTGTACATATTCTGTAAAGTGTCTTTTAAAACCACCAATATGGCGGTTTCAATATGTCCGGACCGGAAGTGCCACCATGTTGGGGGTGGCAGGTGTAAATCCGGCCCAGACCATGTAAGGAAATGGGTGCATTCTATTAACATGTGTGATTAGTTATGCTATTATGTTTTACTGATGTTGTAACATATATAAACAGTTTCACCTCCATTGTAACATTCAGCAGCACCTGAGGAAGACCACATGCTTATGGTTGAAATGTGTTGTGCATTTTTATTTGTTTTATATAACATATAGTAATAAAAAGTTACTTTTAAAATATCTCCAACTCCTAGTTCCTGAATCCAACTTTCCACTATCTGAAAAAAAAAAAATAAATAAATAAATAAATAAATACAAAATAATAACAATAAAAAATGGGGGACTCATCAAATGGAGAAAGGCTGTTCATGTCCTTAATGGAGATATATACTCTCTATAAGTCCAGAGCCAACTTTAATTGGCTCACAATATTGTGAGTGTTTCGAGCTCAGAACCTCCCTTTTATTTAATATACATACAGATTACACTATGTTGTGTTTTGTTTATATCTCTGTATAGGTAAATTGTACCGTTTGTCACCAAGTATACTCTCTATATGTAAAAGAAAATTCACCACCTTTTACCAAGTGTACTATACATTCAAGGTATAGTGCACTTTCACCTTATTTTTTTTTTTTTTTTTATTCTATTCTTGTTTGAAGTATATAAAGTAACAATATACTTGTGTTATTTAGCAGCACCATATGCGTACATCCCTAAGCGCCACCTATATCTCGCCTTACTATCATCTCCACATATAACACTACCCTCACCTCTGCCTTGAACGCTGCAAACATGCACCTTGAGGAGGACACAGCCTCAACCGTGGCATACTAAATCAACACGCTACCTGCAAAGATGTTCTAGTTGTGCTCAACACTCCTGGAGGAGGTCTAGCACCAAGGCATACTATCTGCACTGTAGATTCATATTGTGTCCATACAGTGCAGTGCAGGTCTTGCCCTTGCCAACCAGTCATACTTTACCTCTCTCATTAGTTCATGCTCCAGCAATCCCAGGTGTCTCCTTGACACCTTTAACTCTCTTCTTCGCCCTGCTGTGGCCACCCCCAACCTAACCTTACTGCTGATAGCTTTGCATGCTACATTACTGACAAGATTAAACAGCTAAGGAAATAATTATCCCCAACTTGCTGTTCTCTTTCTCAACCACATGTAGATCAAGCCTTTTCTATCCTTCAGACTTTCTCCCCAGCTACTGGACAAAAGGTGGCTGTGCTTCTCCTTTCCTCTCGCCCCATCATTTGCTCGTTCGATCCTGCCCCACCTCTCCTTATCAGATCTCTCTCACCTCTCTCATCCCTTCCGTAACACACATCTCCAACTGCTCTATCTCTTCTGGTGTCGCCCCTGCTGACTTTAAACATGCCACTGTAGAACCTATCCTGAAAAAAATAAAAACATCTATTGACCCATCCTCCCCCTCTAACCATCGTTACATATCCTATGACCCTCTTCAGTCTGGCTTCTGCACTCTCCACTCTGAGACTGCTCTTATCAAAGTTACTAACGACCTAATCGCAGCTAAATCCAAAGGCCACTACTCCATACTAATTCTGATCTCCTTTGACACCATTGATCATGTTCTCTTTCTTCAAACTCTTCAGTCACTTGGTCTTTGTGACTGTCCTCTCATGGTTTTCCTCCTATCTCTCCCAACACCCATCCACTCCTTTTCTAATGATACCTCATCCCCTTGCCCTGTCTCGGTTGGAGTCCCCCAAGGCACTATCCTTGGTCCCCTTCTATTTTCTCTCTATATTCTTGGCAAACATATTACTTCGCCCTGCTGTGCCAAAACCTTTAAATCAAAATGTTTTGCAGTAGTATTGGTGTCTGGAATGTCCTTTTAACCCCATGTCATGATTATTTTTTATTCCAGAAGTTTGGTCCTTAAGGGGTTAAGAACCACATTAATATAGCCTTGAGGATGACAATCTGATCTCTATACAACTCTGCAAAAATGCAGAATGAAGTCTAAACATAATACCTCATTGTGCTCATTTTTATATCAAGCTAGGACCATGGAAGACTTTTCATGAGATATGACTAAAGAATGTCACAGACTTTTTAATGAGATATGAATAAAGAACGACACAGTTTCTTTTTCACCCTATTGTTCCTCCTCCACCTACTAACTTGACTGCCTAAGACTTTTCAACTCACTTCACTAACAAGATCTCTACAATCAGGGGAGAGACCTCTCATCTTTCTTCTTCCCCTTACAATACTCCCCCCTAACCTCACTCCCTCTGCTGTTCTATCTTCATTCGCACCAGCTACAGCAGAAGAGGTTTCTGCTCTGCTCCAGTCCTCTCACTCCACCACCTGCTCCCTAGATCCAATGCCCTTGCATCTCATCCGTACTCTCTCCTCTTGTTCTACCACTCACTGGAATTATCAATCTCTCTCTCATCTGGCATATTTCCATTGACCTTCAAACATGCAACTGTAACCCCAATTCTTAAGAAGCCCAACCGTGACCCTAACTCCACACCCAACTACTGTCCTATCTCGCTACTGTCTTTTGCGTCCAAGATCCTTGAAAGAGTTGTCTAAGCGAGATTGACAGACTTCCTTGAGTTCAACTCTCTGCTAGACCCTCTTCGGTCTGGTTTCCACGCTAAGCACTCTGTGGAAATGGCACTGACCAAAGTATCCAATTGTCTACTTGCTGCAAAACCTTGTGGTCACTACTCTATCCTAATTCCCCCTGACCTTTCTGTGGCTTTTGACCCTGTTGATCATCAACAGCTTTTTCTCATCCTCTGCAATATCTGTCTACAAGATATTGCTCTCTCCTGGTGCTCCTCCTACCTCTCCCAGCGCTCTTTCAGCTTTTCTTTCTCTGGCTCTGCTTCTTCTCCCCAAATCCTCTCTGTTGATGTCCCCAAAGGTTCAGTCCTTGGTCCCCTACTGTTCCCCATCAATACTGCCTCTCTTGGTAAAAACATTAAGTCATGTGGCTTCCAATATTATTTCTATGCAGATGACATTCAAATCTGTCCTCTCCTGATCTATCCCCATCCCTCTTGACTAGTTTCTCTGACTGCCTCTCTGCTATTTCTAACTAGATGGCTGCCCACTTCCTTAAACTCAACTTGACCAAACCCAAAATGCTGGTCTTTACTCCCTTAAGTGTTGCTACTCCTGTGCCTGTCCCCATCCAAGTCACCAGTGCTACCATCAGCTCCACCATGCAGGCTCACTGCCTTGGTTTTCTCTTTGACTCCAACCTCTCCCTCACGCCTCATGTTCAGTCTTTCGCCAAATTCTGCCACTTTCATCTCAAAAACATTGTGCATATTCTACTTAATGCCAGATGCGACTAAGGTGCTGGTCCATTCCACTGTTCTTTCTCGCCTTGACTACTATAATTTGCTTCTCAGTAGTCTTACATGATCCCAACTTGTGCCACTCCAGTCCATAATAAAAGCAGCTTCAAGGCTCATCTTCCTGTTCACCCGCACCTCCCACGCCTCACCCTTCTGTCAGTCCCTACATTGGCTTCCTGTAAGATATAGGGTTTCATTTAAAATTATTTTTCTTGCTTTCAAATCTCTACATAATGCTGTTCCCACCTATCTATCCTCTGTAAAACACAAGTATATCCTGTCTAGGCCCCAAAGACTTATGTCTATCTTCTGTCCGTACCTACCCCCCACCCCTGATGCTTGCGTTCAAGACTTTGAGGGCTGCACTGCTCCTGTGGAATTCACTTCCCTCCTCTGTTAGATGCTCACCCAGTCTTCCCTCCTTCAAAAAATCATTAAAAGCCCACTTCTTCAAAAGTGTATCAATTAAACTGTTAATAGCTACCGACTGATTCCTCTCTTGCAACTGTCATATGTCTAATACTATCCTTACCTTTTATGTCACTTTACCCCATTCCCTCTAGAATGTAAGCTCATTGAGCAGGGCCCTCAACCCCTTTGTCCCTGGGTGTCCAACTTGTCTGGTTACAACTATGTTTGTTCGTTCACCCACTGTAAAGTGCTGCTGAATTTGTTGGCTCTATAAAAATAACAATAATTTTAAAAAGAAAATTAACACACACACATACAATCTGGAATATACATGTCAAGGACAGAAGGTTGGTGGTGCATTAATTATGCATGTGAAAGAAGCTGAGTAACTAAACACCAAGTTTTTCTCGCAAAATTGTAAAGTGCTTCAAATTCAAGATATTTCTAGTCTTAATGTCAGAAAATATACATTGCATTAAAGACAAGGGGCACGTATTATGCATTTCTTTACTAAACTCCAGTAGCAAAGACTATTTCAATAATGTTTAGTGAAACAATACAAGAAAAAACAAAAAAACAAAACAGTCAAGTAATTGCAATGGAATATCCAATAGCCAATCAGCATTCGGTGTAGTCTATATGTAGGGAATTTAAAAACAAGCAAGGTGATTTGCGCACACAGATATCGATGGTTTCCCTTACAAATGAAAGTTGTTTTTTTTGTTTGTTTTTTGGTAAACAATATAGTGAAATGTATTTTCCCTAGATTAAATAGATATAAAGCAAAAAAAACAAACAAACAAACAAAAAAAAAAACACACACACACACATCGTAACCTGTATATCGCATGTATGGATATGTAAAGATAATCAGCAAACTCTCACTTTTCAGAGCCCATTAAAAGTTGGCTCGGGACTTATGGTGCATTCCATCTCATCAAGGAGATATCAGATGGAATTTCACTGCATTCCATCTCATCAAGTTTTCTCTTTTGCAGAAGCATTAACAGGAATTCTGGAAAGAGCATCAACTTTTTTGTTACCACATACATCCAAAAAATATGAATATGGTTCTGGTATTAGAGTTTTGTGACTTAATTTAAATATAAGAATTTGAGGGAGACAATTGTCCTTACAATATTCTGAGTCAAAGGTGAGAGAAAAGGGAGCCCAACAAATGAAGGGATTATGAATTTGTAACCAGTTGATTCCTAAGATGATTGGAAAAAAAGGGGGGTGGGGGGGGTGGGGTGGTTTATAATATTGAAAACAATAAATTCTGAATGATTATTATTGATAGTGGTCAAAATAGGAATAATTTCATTTTTTTATGGGACCAGAGGGAATTAAAGATCCATCAATAACTCTGATGGAGACAAAATATGCTTTTTTTCAGACAAGGAATTTTATTGGCTTCAACAAACGAAGAATCTATGAATATCCCAGTAGCACCAGAATCAATAATGACCTCAGTCTTGATTCTTTCTTTGTCCCACTGTAAAATTAGAGGTACAGCAAACTGATGAGAGGAGGAAGAGGGTAGTGTTTTTAGAATTGAGGTATTAATTTTAGGCTTACCTCCCTAGAGTGTTTTAGAAGAGGACATTCTTGTAAGAGATGTTCTTTAGAGGCACAGTACATACAAAGATTTAAGTCTCTCCTCCTTGTTTTTTCTTCCATAGACAAAGGTCCCCTAGGAAACCTAACTTTCACAGGTTCACTGGGTTGCAAGGGTTTGTTAGGCATTAGCAAAGGTGGACTGGGTTTTTTCCAAAATGAATTAGAGAGAGCATTTTCAGCTTTACGTTCTCTGATTCTTCAATCTATACTAATAGAGAGTTGAATTAATGTATCAAGTGTTGGGGGAAGAGTGGTTCTAGATAGTTAATCTCTAACTGTTTCAGATAATCCTAAACGGAACTGTACGTAGAGCAATATCATTCCATTGGGTTTCTGAAGCCCATCTTTTGAACTCAGCTATATAATCCTCCACAGGACGATTTCTTTGTTGTAATAATCTAATAGTAAGATCAGCAGTTGCTTGTTTATTAGGGCCCTCATATAGTAATGACATTGCCTCAATAAAATTATCTAAAGAATCCAAAATAGGATCTTCATTTTCCAGAAATGAATGTGCCCAGGACATAGGTTCACCCCTTAAGTAGGAAATTATTGAACACACCTTAATCCTGTCTGAGGGGTAAGCCCTGGGTTTGAGAGTAAACAATAATTTGCATGAATTCACAAATTATCTATATTTGGAACGATCTCCATATTTTTTTTTCGGGATTGCAGACAGCAGGGTCACTTGAAGAATGTGTAACTTTATTTTGCATTTCTCTAATATAAGAAATAAGTCTTTCATTAGCAATTTGCAAATCCTGCATGCCTTGTGTGAGTATTTCAACCCTGTGGTTTAAAGAGGTAATTTGGGAATTCACATCTGCTGGTTCCATTTTTAGGCTTGGTGATTTTGTTATGCTACTTGGGTTATTTGGATTGGAACTCAACTGCAGCTTGTAGAACTCCTTGATTACAATAGTAAAGAAACAAAGAATCTTTAAAGTATCAATACTGTAGCTTTAAGAAAAGAGAGGATTGCTGACAATTTGAGAATCAAACAAAGTTTTAATTATTGATAACCTTAAATTAATTGCATATAGGCAATAATCCAATAAGAAGAAAGTGCAGGTTATCAAACAATACAAAGTTTATTAATAAGTATTTCCTAAGAGACATTTTTAATAAGAATATTTAGGTTGCTGGGAATAATCTTTAATAGAAACATTAAGCAGGTAGCAGAGAGTATTTGCAAAGCAAGAAACAGTTCATAGTAAATAAGCATGATAGGAGTTGTCCTCCATATAATTAATAACTTGAAGCAGAGAAGATTTAAGCAAGCAGGAATGGTTCCAATAATAAATGATATTGCAGACAACGGTTGAAAGATATACTTGAGGTTAAGGTGAGTTGCCCTCCAAGAGTTCAGAGTTATAGTCCACTTGTAAATTAGCAAAGTATCCGTTCTCCAGTAATCCTTTATGGCATGCAGCAATCCTTGCATTTAGTTCAAAGGCTGGGACGGCTTGTCAGAGCTTGTGGAGCTGGCGTGTATGCGCGGAAGTAGGTCCCACAATCATCAAGCGCCTTCTCCATGGTGCGGTCTCCCTAAGTACTGTCAGAGCCGCGTCAGAAGGGGGCAGGGCCAGCTCCGCAATGCAGAAGTGCCGAACCCGGAAGATAAATCGCATCACAACGTCCTACAACATTAATGTAATGCCGAAATGCAATTATTAAAATAGAGGCTGTTGTCCACAATCAATCCCCCCCTCTGAAGTTGCCTACAATAATGCAGTTTATTAACAAAAATCTGGCCGGGTGCGGACCCGCTCCGCACGACCCCCCCACGGGAATTTCAATGGACAAGGAGTGCAAAGGCTCCCCATTGTATCCCATGCTAACTGCATCCAACAACTCCCAAACCTCCTTTATAAAAAGATCGCTAAACAAGATAATTAGCTTACGTGTGGGACATACTATAATTTGTGGGGACCTTAACTGCACGCTGGACCCCGAATTAGATATCAAACGAATTGAGAGTAAACATCCATTACAGCAAGCCAGTACTATGAGCTATAACCTTAGCACACTACTCCACACGAACGATCTCTATGACACATCGCGCATCCTATACCCGAAGGAGAAAAATTATTTTTCTCGTATAGATATGTGTTGGGTGGACAAGAGCTCTATAACAAATGTCATAGAAGTGCAAATAGGGGACAGGACCTGGTCCGACCATGCACCTGTAATTACTATGTTCAGGGCCATGTACGCGGCTTGAGGACGGAGTGCATGGTGCCTGAACGAATCCCTCATAGATAATGCGGATACAGCCGCCAAAATATGCATAAGCATCAAGACGTTTTATGAGAATCATCAGAAAGATCCCTCACGCATTGACACTAAATGGATGACCCTAAAAGCAGTACTGAGAGGTCTACTAATCCAAGCAGGGTCGACAAACAAACGGAAGGTCTACAACGAAACAGACAAACTGCTCACACTAAACTGCTCAACACAAAACACTAGACAGGGATAATAAATTAAGATCAACTAGAACGCTATCCCCAAAAATTGAAAAGAGAAGATCTACATGCAATGTCCTTAATAACTATGGAAAGACAGCTACGCAAGTTGAAGCTCTCCTACCATATGCAAGGGAATAAGGCGGGGAAAATGCTTGCAAGATGCTTAAAATCCCAATATATACAATCCAAACTCCCATACATGACATCAGCCGCAGGGACAAAACTATTTAACCCACAAGACAAGGTGGACGAATTGACGACCTTTTAAAATAAGCTATACAATCACACACAGGATAAAATTCTATACCAGCCAATCGAGTCAGAAATAGATATCTTCCTAAAAGAGGCAAATCTACCACGCCTGACTGCCCACCAAAGCTCGATACTGACAGCTAGATTCACAGAAGACGAAATGCAAAACGCAATACACAAACTGCCCAAACACAAAGCTCCGGGCCCAGATGGGTTTTCCAATCACTTTTACACCACATTTGAGGCACATCTAACACCGTACCTTACAGAACTTTTTAACTTTTTTAGGGAATCAGGGTCCATACCGGAAGAGATGCTGCTAACCCATATTGTTACGCTTCCCAAACCAGGCAAACCTCCCACCGAATGTGCCAATTTGAGGCCCATTTTGCTGCTAAATGCAGATACAAAACTATATGCCAAGCTACTAGCTACGCGCCTATAACCCATCTTGCAAGATTTAGTCTGTCCAGAACAGGCAGGATTTGTCCCGAATAGGCAGCCAGGGTATAACATATGCCACTTTTTAAACTTAATCACATGGGCCCAGACTACTAACCAAAAAGGCATACTTCTAGCTTTAGACGTGGAAAAAGCGTTTGATCACTTAAATCGGACATACATATGGGCTGTATTGTTACACATGGGTATCCCACTAGAATTCTCAAAATGCATTATGGTCCTATATTCCAGACCTGCAGCCAAAATATTTAACTCTGGGTTCCTATTGCGACCTTTCCAAATAAAAAATGGCACCAGGCAGGGGTGCCCCCAGTCTCCATTAATACTCATTCTGTGCATGGAACCCCTAATCAGACACATTAAAAATGAACACAATATTGGGGGCCTAGAAACACCTCTAGGGGACCAAAAAATAGCCCTGTTCTCCTATTCTTAACACACCCGGAGACATCCTTACCAAACCTGCTAGCATTGCTGGAGAGATACGGGAAGATGTCTTGCTATAAGAACAATGCCAAAAAAACACAAGCACTGGCGATAGGTCTTGCACCCTCCTCTCTAACACACCTGAAAACACTGTACCCCTTTGATTGGCGAAAAACCACTCTTTCATATCTGGGTATAAAACAGCCAGAATTACAATCGGCGATAATATGGGAAAACCCTGCACTGCTCATTCACAGATTAGAACAACAACCTAAGGCATGGGAGGACAAAGAGATCTCATGGTTAGGGCGGATCCACACCATAAAAAATTATATTACCACACATACTATACCTATTTCGCACCCTGCCCATTACAATTCCAAATCCTATATTAAAGAACTTCCAGGCTACAATTAACGCACACATTTGAAAACGGAAACCTCCAAGGATAGCACAAAACTCACTGTGGCGCACATTCACAAAAGGCGGACTGGGCATACCCAACTTAAAACTATACTACAAAGCTTCAATATTGGCACAAGGCCTCACGATCCTTGAGCATTCATCTCCTCCGGTATGGCTAGCGTTGGAAAATGCATGCATGCCCACTGGCACAATTCCACTTACGCTTTGGGCAGGAACAAAGCTCCCCAGGTCAAAGATCTTGCTACCAGTCACAGAAATGTTGCTCCACACATGGAAGCAGGCTACCCCACTATTCTTACAAGAGAATGACCTACTCCTTACCTGCCCGAACGACAAATCTGCAGGTAGACCCTTGGCTAAGACTAAGGGGTTCACCGTGTACGCTCCTTATTGACTTCTGCTGGTATCAAACCATTCCCGGAAACCTCAGGAAATATTATCTTACCTACGAATCAGGAACATAGTGCAGGAATGTAGGCTTAGTTTAAGGGAGCCCAACCTCTTGCCACCATTCATCCAAAAATATATGGGGAAATTACCAAATGTTAAAGCAATGTCCCTTTGCTATAATGTGCTCTTACTCCAAAATAAAACAGCAAAATCCCCATACATGTCTAAATGGGAAATGGATATAGGGAAACAATTCTCACAAGCAACATGGTACCACGCTCAAAAGAAAACAAAGCAGGCCCCCCATAGTCTCACCCAGTGGGAAACGTTCTGCAAATTAATTATGTGCTGGTACTTAGTCCCTACCAAACTAGCTCACATATATCCAGGGACGAACAAATTATGTTGGAGATGCCACAATCAGGAAGGGACCCTCTATCATATATTCTGGACGTGCCCAAAGATTACTACATTGTGGCGAAACATAACAACACTTCTATGCAACAGCTTGGGGATCGAGGTACCAATGAGACCGGAATGCTTTATATTACACATTTTCCCGAACACTCTCCCTGAGGATGAGGTCTACCTAGTGATCCATTGCTTAATGGCAACAAAAAATGCAATTGCCCACACGTGGAAGACCGCACAGACGCCCACCGTGTCAGAGATTTTAGGTAGAATAGACTCAACATATACATATGAATGCATGGCACATTATGACATGGCACATAGCTGCTTGTGAGAGAAAGCTAGAGGAGAATGATCACCATATGGATCAATTTGCCCAGGCTTTGAGTATGCTTCTTACTCGAACAGTGCATCTGCAACCTGCGGCTTCTCCGCCTGTGTCACCTCCGCCTAGAGTAATTCCACCTATAGTACATAAGGCACCAACTATCTGCCTATCTCCTCCTCCGCATTTTGATGGTAATATTCAAGAATGCCAGGGATTCCTGAATCAAATTGAGTATCATTTTGAAGCCTCTCCGGGACCTTTTCCCACAGATAGAGCTAAGATTAGTTACCTGATGAACCAACTTAAGGGTAAAGCCTTAGCTTTGGCCAATCCGTTATGGGAGACTAATAGGAGTATTGCACATAATTAACAGGAATTCCTTGCAGAATTCAAATTAACATTCAAACCATTAGGCAGGGAGGATGACACCTCCACTGCATATCAAACAAGGGAACTGGTCTATCTCAGATTATGTCATATAATTTTGCACCTTGGCTGTGGTAGACTGGACTAATAGTGGGTTGATCTCTGCATTCAAAAAAGGATTATTTTGCAGCAATTTTGCACGAGATTGCTACCAAAGATCTACCTAAAAAAATTAAACGTGTTTATAACATGTGTCATGCATATTGATAATAGATTAAGAACCAGAGAAACTACCAGAAATAGAACTAGACGTATAGCTATGTCACTAGCACCTTGTTTTTCCAGACCTATTGTTCCTGCCCCGCCTGTTCAGTCTGAACCTGAACCTATGCAGTTGGGGGTCAAAAGACTGTCAGAAGCAGAAAGACAACATAAGAGAATATAGGGCCTATGCTATACTGCGGTAGAAGAGGACATATGAGGAGTTCTTGTCCCATATGTCCGGAAAACATGTGCACCTAAGAATCTTAAGGGGACAGGTCTTGGGTGTGATGGATATGTCCTCTGGGAATAACAAAAAAAAAAAAGTTTCCTCCTTGATATTACAATTAAATGTAACAAGAACAACTTTTCATGCAGGGCCTTGATGGACTCAGGTGCGGCAGGGAACTTCATTGATGTATATTCTGTAAAAGAAAAATACTATACCGAACAAGGAGAGACTAATACCTCTGGCCGTTGAGGCTATTGATGGGAGACCGCTCTCTCAACCCTTAATTACCCACGGAACCTTGCCCATTGGTGCTTTACATAAGGAAGATATAGCATTCCAAATTATTGCTTCTCCTACTTGCCCCATCATATTAGGCTTTCCTTGGCTTATTAAGCACATGCTCATATTGACTGGGCCAATGGGGAAATATTGGAATGGGGCAAAGATTGTACGGAGAGGTGTATGTTACACATTACCAAGAGAGTGGGCACCATTACATTACCCACTACAACACCTCAAACCTCCAAAGTTCCCAATACTGGGAGGTTAAGAAGGTATTGCACAAGGTAGCAGTATATGCTTTATCCCCAAAGGAGAGTAGAATAATGGAGAAGTATATCAAAGACTCCCTAAATAAGGGCCATATGTGTAAATTATCCTCTCCTGCTAGTGCAGGATTATTTTTAGTGTCTAAAAAGATGGTGAGTTGGGGGACGGAGCCTGACCTCGAAGGAAGATGGACGCCTGAATCTTAGGTTCTCTCTCCCCATAGCACGATCATCCGCGACTACCTTTACCATAGACACCCAAACTCATCACCAAATACTCCTACATCATCTGCCCTACCCTGGACACCATGGGAGGCAAAAATAAATAAATAATCAAACCCCATTGGTTGCACTAATGTTCCGCACACCGAGCACCACACAGGGGAATGGCAATTCACAGCATGTAGAAGAAGAGGATTCTGATCCAGAACCACTTACCCCCGCAACGGATCCCATTGCCCCTCTTACCATCGTCATCATTAGAGGCATGCTTCACGAACCACGGTGGACATAAATTCACACGTGGCCGCCAAAATCAACAGGCAACTCACAGTGAAGCCGCGCTCACCGCCAAAGCAGACCTGGCAGATACTCACATCACCAAGCTCTCATCGACCACCACAGAACAGGCCCAAGATGTTTCCTACTTGCATGGCTGCATAGCAGCCCTAGAAGATAGCCTGGGAGACCTCAACAATAGATCATGGAGAAACAGCATCCAGATCAGAGGCCTACCAGAAGCAGTCTCTCTCGACAACTTACTCCCTACCGTGAAAGACATCTTCAGGGCCATGGCACCAGACCTCACAGCAAGGGATCTGGAAATGGATAGAGCCCATTGAGCCCTGAAACCCCCAAACCTGAACCAAAACACCCCCAGGGACATCATCATTTGAATACACAATTTCCCTGCAAAAGAAAAGCTACTCCAAATAGCAAGATACAAACTGCCTAACTACAAGGACCACCAACTTACCTTCTTTCAGGATCTCGCCCTCATGACTCTGAAGAAGAGGTGAGACCTTAAACCCCTCACCACAGCCCTTCAACAACTGGGCCTGAAATACACATGGGGCTATCCCTTCAAACTAATTGTCTATATTTTATATGCTAACCTATATTCTAATGTCTCCGGCAGATAAGGGCCCCTTCTCCAAATTGTTGGGGATTCAAGTAGCACAGCATAACCCACTTACCAGGCAAGGGGCAGAGGACCGTCCCACCGAGAGATCACGGTCCCCCCGCCCGTCTAAAAAGACGAGGATTCGGCACAACGTGACTACAGACATGGGCCTCACCACACAAGATCCATAACCACCTCTAAAACTGCTGAGGGACATGCCTGGGACACGACGTCTCTCTCCATGTCGAGGTATGCCACCTCACCCTGCCACCCACCTTTTAGGAACCAACACACATCGTGTCCCACAAATATTAAGGCAACCACCCTCACCATACACCCCCACTAACTCAGCTTCGACGAGCATAGGAACTGAAAACAACTGGCGGTTCTAACCCACCACATCTTACCAAACTCAAAATCAAACAACTGGGCCCCCTAGACAGACGACCAAGAGACTATGCCGCTTCGGTCACCCTCTATTTTCAATTTGGCATATACAGGAATATACCCACGACCCCCACATATAGAAGAAGGTTAAACAACAAAAATAAGCTAAAGGAATGAGACCTCTAGAGACACCAGCAAACCTCAAGCTGCTGACCCTGCAATACAGACAGCACCCTTTGATTACCCTCACATGAACACTCCAAAAAGGAACCAACCTGATAATCCAGCGGGACCCACCAAAAGCGAACCGGCACCAGACCGCTACAACATACCTACACGAATCAATACCAGACAGACGGCTACCTAACTGGAAAAGCCAGCTACTAATCAACAACTCACTGGGACATTGCAAGTAAAAGGGGACTGTTCTTGGGAGGGATGGAGGGAACTGGGAAACAGGCCCTCACCCAGGGTAAAGACTTACACCTCCCCCCCCACACAAACCTTTCAAACATTGCCTACAGGACGAGACCCAACACCCCCTCAACGACCGCACAACCCGACCCCCCACCCAGACAGACAAGACAACCCCCACCCCCTCATCCCACCCAAAATGCTACAAGCTCCTCACTGACCTGACAGGTTACAATCTAACAGTGCTAGACCCCCACACCCTGCCTAATCAGACTGTCCAGGAATATATATACACACTAGACTGAGAGGAATCATTACCCCCTCACCCCCCACACACCCCCATAAGATAGTTGTTAAAGTTTAATGTTATGTTGTTTTTGTTTTTTTTTTGTTTTTACCTATGTTACCTACACATGTATATTATAGCTCATTGATACTGGTTTATGCAATGACCATATTTATGCTGAACAGAGTTCCTAGCTGCTAGGAGACAGACGGACTTTGCCTGACCCATCATTGAGCACCATCCCAATGACATACCTTAAGGACCCACCGACACTGCAACCAACAACCCGACCTGAACACAAGAAGCTGCCACTTCTACCCACATGACTCTACAAAGGGACAGCACCCGGCACTGAACAGGAACGACACCACACTTCAAAAACCGTGAGTGAAAACACACACACCGTGCTTGGGGGGAGAGGTGACGGGAACGTGAAAACCTCCCTCCTCTCTCCACCACATACACACCAAAGGACACTACTTACACACAACCCCACCCCACAGGCCCTACTGATACCCCCCTAGTTTACCTGGCTGATGACCCGTAAGACCAGGGAACCATCACCCACACCCTTACCTTTCCCCCATTCTACCACTCCAGCCCTCCTCCCCTCGCCCCCCCTATACTCACCCACTATAAAAGGAGGGAGCCAGACCCGCAGACCCATCTTCCCCCACCCTAACCCTTATATTCTAGGACCACTTATTATGCCTAGAACAATCTCATGCATCTCATTGAACTGCAAGGGCCTCAATAACCCTGCTAAACAACTACAATTATTACGCTGGGCTAACCGCTCAAAAGCAGGATCGATCCTTATCCAAGAAACACACTACAAGAACAACAGACCCTTCCCCTTACAAAAATAAGCACTACACCAAATGCCACCTAGTGACCCCCCTCAATGGAAAACACAACAGAGTGGCTAATCCACAAATCATTCCCCATACAATTTGCACAAACCATTCCGGAACCGCAGGCAGATATCTGACAATAGCAGGAAACTTAGGGAACCACAAATACGTGATCACATTGGTATATTGTCACGTATCCATCCGCTTATAAAAATGTGGTTAATGACATTTACTGTCCACACAGGAAAAGTTGTGCCGAGCAGCAACCTAATCCACAGAACGGTTAATGCTGAGCAGCAATTATGCAAATGGAACCTGGTAACTGCCTTTGGGGTCAAAGGGCGGTTACAGCCTATCAGATCTAGAGGAGGGGTATTTGGGCCCAGTCCTCATCCTGCTCAGTGCCCTGTCGTGGTTTCCCTTGTGGTTGTCCGAGAGCGCGTTACTTATTCTGGTTATTTGACTTTGGCATTGTTTTTGACTTCCCTGTTTTCTGGCTTTTCCTTATTGTTGTGTCTTTTTTTGTATCCCTTGACCTCGGCTATTCCTGATGATTCTTTGGTACGTTAGTCTGGCCATTCTAAGGTCCAGTATACATTACGTTATCAGTCCTCTGTGTTACACAATTCTATGTGCTGGATCATACTGTAATCCTGACATGTATGCCCCCAACCTCCCAGACCAGGAGTTCTGGACTATTCTCCAGGCACACATGAAACTATTTACCTCCCACCATATGATTCTGGGAGGGGACCTCAATGCTGTCATGACCCCTGAGTTTATTTGTAATATCGGGTAGAATACTTTAGTAGTTCTAGTCATATATTTATCTGGACAAGGGGATAAAGATATATGTTAGTTCTTGGAATAGGTGACACAGAGATCTTACATTCACTATTAATACACAACACAGAGTGAATTTCTCTCAAAATAATACCAATTGGAATTATTGGTGGTGAGAGAAGAATTATACAACAAACACATGCAATGAACGCAAAGGGGAAAATATCTTTGTTGGAATAACTATGCAAGAAACCCACGAATCCACCAGGTATCATCTCTAAACTATATGACAGCTACCACCCCCCAGAGGAGATATGGAACATGAATTTTGTGAAATTGTGGTAAAAAGATATAGGCAGGCCACTGCCAGAAGAAGCATGGTGACAACATTTTTATGGCCAATAAACCACTAAGTCTTTGCTCCCCCCACGTAGAGATGTCTAGGAAAATGCTATATAAATGGCATATGGTACCAACCAAACTAAAACACATAGATCCTAAGCAAACAGGTGCATGCTGGAGATGTGGGCACGACTCTGGCACTACTCTACATATATGGTGGACATGCCCTGCCATCACCCAACTGTGGGAAGACATAGGGAAGGTTGAATTACTGTTAACACCAGATATATTCCTCATACAACATATCACACCACAACTACCCAAAACACAAAGATATCTTGTATATCACATTATCATAGTGGTAATCACAGACATAGCTAAAGCCTGGCTCTGTAAAGACCCACCGAGGATAGAAACATGCATCCCACAGATCGACACAATCAAAACATATGAATGTATGGCTAGGGCCCACCGAGCGCCACAAAAGTTTTGGGTAGAGGCATGGGCATTATGGGACACATATAGGAACCCTCCAAAAAAGAGTGAACAGGGCATAGACAACAGGAGGCAAGCTCGATGCTCGGGGGATGTAGAAGAGCAAGCCTCTACATAAATGACAGCTACACAAACCTATACCACAACTCTACTACCATATAATATGGGAACATTAATTTCCGGCAAAAGTAACTGAACATAGGGAAACAAGCCTCCAAACGTATATATGTTTTTAAATCTCTGGATACAAATCACAGACCCAGAGAGAAGACATATCAACCTATGACTTAACACACGCAACACAAAACTAAAAAAGCAAATGATTTAGTAAAAGGGCAAACCCATAAGACACTATGGATAATCCTGGAAAACGTTATTTGTCAATGTACCTTATAAATTACAAATAAAAATAAATAAATAAACTAGTGTCCACAATTCAATTGAAATCACCGCTAGGAGTACTTTACCCTGTTTATTTTTTTTTTCAACTGTATCTAAAAAAATCAGAAAAATACTTATTGGGAGGGTTATTAGGTGCATAAACATTTACTAGAGTATGCATTTCTGTTTGAATTTTTATTGTCAGTATTATAACGCTTGCTTCCTCGTCTGTTTCTTGGTAAATGATTTTAGCATCTATGTTGTCACTTATCAGAATAGCCACCCCTCTCTTCCTCTGCTTCTCTAATGAGGTGGATACTATTATTGAAAACCTGTGTGGGACAAATCTTAAGCTGCCCTCTCTTCTCCAATGTATCTCTTGTAAAAAGATGTTTTGAGCTTTTTCTCTCTTGATATAGTAAAAAAAAAGCCCTCTTGCAAGGAGAATTTAGGCCCTGAGAATTTAACAAGATAATTTTAACCATTACAATTTTTCATCCTCCTGTCAGTCGATATAAAAAAAAATGTCATGCTCAAAATTTGAATTATGAATAATTCTCCAGAATCTATTAACCATAATCTTGATGGACTTGCTTTGTAAATTCCTTCCTGGTCTGAAGTTGAGCCCCCGCCCCTGACACACTGACCACACCATTCATACACAATCCCATCATATATGAGGGGCATTCATACACATAACCCTGAGTCCTAAACTCTGGGTATAGATCCCAAAGGGGGGGAACCCCTAGTTGGGCTCTTGCCCTCATCAGGATAACTCCTAGATAAGGAAAAATGGAAAAAGCTGAGCTGAGCTAGTGTTGAGCTATTTCAATTGCTTTTGTTTGATTTATTCATTGCAAACAGCTGTAAAGTTTGACTATACACTTGATTTCTAATGGGTGTTGAACAATTTTAATTACAACTGTATGCCTCCACCCACCATGCTGCAAGAAGGGAAATACACATAAAAAAGTAAGCAGCCAGGAGGGGGCGGCGCCAGAGTCCGATCTGAATGGACGTGCAATAACCTTCAGCACAATCCGTTTCCATCGGGCCAAGAACTCGCAATGGGGCACCCCACCTAAACGGAGAAGAAATGATCCACAGGGAGCACAGAAGACCAATACTCACAGAGCACCACTACTCAGAGACATTAGATGACCTAAATCACCCCCCCCACAGGTATTGTGTCACCATACATGCAGGAAACTGAACGGTATTCTACTATACATGCCTTCCTCTTCAATGGACCCACTCTCCGGCTCCCTCACTGAACTTTCTGCTACCTACTTCAGCGAAGCTGCACAGCTGTACGGACTTAGGTGGATACACAGCTCACTTAAAGGGAGCAGTAAGATAGTTTGCCTCCGTAAGCACCCCATATTAGGAATCCCCCCCCCATCCCCACAGAGCAGATCCTTGTCTCACAACCCAGGCACAACCAACAAGCCCAGTGCTACTGACGATTTCCCCCTCCCCCACCCACCACAAGTTCTCTATCGAAACCATGGTTGGCTGAAGGTTAAAGTCCACAGGGCCCCACCACCATATCTTGCAGGCGTCTAGACGACCACCTCCCCCTGTCCTCCCAGACAGACCTGACACTGTGGTCCCCCATCCCTTCAATAAATATCCTGTAGCAAAAAAAAAGAGGAGTGGCAATCCTCATATCCTCTTGAGTACCCTACACCCATAAGGATCAATATGCAGAAGACTCAGGGAGACTGATAATGGCTAAAGGTAGTATAGGTCAAAATACAGTGACATTTGCAAACCTACACCTACCAAATAAAACCCAAAGCAGATTGCTACGGCAATTCCTTAGGATCATATAAGTATTCCAGGAAGGGATATTGATCATGGGAGGGTACCTGAATGTATCCCTTTCAGGCCTCTGCCCGTAGACAAATAACCCATCTTCTAGACAAAGCACAAATGTGTGACTGCTGGTGGATCACCCACCCAGGATCCAAAGACTACTCCTACTACTCCCCGGTCATGGACACATACTACAGAATAGATATGATGTTTATACCCCACAGGTTCCTCCACCTCATCACCCACTGCAGTTATGGACCAATCACTTGGTCAGATCATGCAGCACTGTCTCTGACCATCTTAATTCCATCCCTCCCATTAAAGACTTTCCAATGGAAGCTGACAACACACTTATTCTCTCCCAAATCTTAGACACACTCAAACACTACTTTGTACAAAGTTATTCTCCCAACACCACACAGTCAATCACCTGGGAAGAACATAAAGCGGTTGCCAGGGGACACCTCATAGCCCTAGCTTCCAAACAAAAGAAAGACAGAGAGGCACAAGTCCGCACACTCACACAATCAATATGCCGAATGGAAGAGTCCCACAGGAGACACGCTCACTAGACTCCTACATACAACTAACACAACATAGGTCAACACTTCAACAATTACTAGACGCCTAGATCAAACGGAAACTCTCACTACCCAAATATAATTACTACTCAAAAGGGGGCAAAGGCAAATCTAAACCAAAACAGGGGAGACATCACACCGGGTCCCTGACATACTGGAGGCATCCTGTGATTTCAATTCAGATTTATACAACCTCGCTCAAGTCCGCCTAGCAAGGAGGAGATTGCGGAATATCTTGTGTCTAGAATTGGTCACACACTACCTACAAATATTCAACAAGCCATTGATGCCCCCATAACGAGGGAAGAATTTACACTGGCAGTTGGAAACCTAGCCCTCAGAAAGAGTCCAGGCCCAGATGGCGATACTGCCAAATACTATAAGACTTTCAAGGAGCTCCTAACAGTCCCATTTCTTAAAGCTTTCAACTCCCTCACACGCGATCCCACACTTCCAAACCCTGCCCTAGAAGCTCGCACAACCCATGAACCCCAAACCAGGGAAAGACCCCCTGAGCTGCTGGAGTTATAAACCTATATCCCTAATCAACATCGACCTGAAAATCATTACAAAAATCTTAGCCACCTGCCTGTGCCCGTTGCTAGAGGGGCTGGTCCACCCTGATCAGACGGGCTTTGTCCCGGAAAGAGAGGCAAAAAACAACACATCTAAAATGCTCAACCTCATCTGCCTAGCCCAACACACAAAGCTCGCTTCTCTCGGTCGACGTAGAGAAGGCCTTCAACAGGGTTGACCGGTCCCTCCTCCCAGAAACCCTCAGGGCTATGGAATTTGGCCAGGCCTGGCTACAAAATCCACTTTACTCAAGCCTCAGTATCAAGATTTGAATTAATTGCCAACTATCGGAATCAGTCACAATTAGCAACGGCACAAGGCAAGGGTGCCCCCTCTCTCCCATCTTCTTCATTATCATAATGGAGCCATTTATCCAGGGCATTAGAGACAACAGTGGAAATCTGAGGTTTTCAGATCAGGGATCATGAAGATAATATTGCAGCATTTGCGGACAATCTCCTTGTCACCGTCACTGATCCCAGCACCTCCATGCCCGCCCTACTAAGTGAAATTACTCTATTGTAACTTCAAGGTTAACTTCACAAGAGCAAAATACTCCCTCTATGGCACATGCATGGGCGACGGCGGAAATGACTGCACTGACCAGCGGATTCAAAAGAGAAGAGGAATTTGAAGTGAGAAGATGCTCCTGAGGAAGTCGAGAGACAAAATGCGTTGAGCCCACCTGTGGACCCTGCAGTTTAGTATCGGCAGCTTTATTTTACATATCTACTGGTTTAATGCTTGTGCAATATTTTGTCTTCAGTTCACCATTTGAATTTATGGAGGATTGTTTTTTTGTGCACTTCAATCTGTACATTTGCACCTAGGCACTTGCACTTTGCACATCCAGTACTTTATTGTTTTTAACTGCTGTACCTACGGGTCTTATTTAGCCTATTGTGGCATTTCATATTGCACATGTTCTGTGCTGTCAATATTGATATTTTATAATTAATAAAAAAAATTCTGTTATGTTTTATCCTTATATTTTTTCTTTGTCAATTTATTCATTTTCTTTTAACCCTATTATATCACCTATATAGTGATTGTGGCGCTCTGTTTTCTTTTATCTTGTTTTGTATATATTTGGGGTTGGAGTGACCTCTTTACAGAAGCTTGCCTGCACTGGGTCTTTTTCACCATTCATCACCCACTTTCTATTGTGCTTATCTTATATACAGAGAAAACCACAACTTAATTGCACCTAGGTGGCCGCCATTTGGCATACGAACACGTGAAGAGAACAAAGGATGGCGGCCATCTTAAAACTCATGAATGCGGTCAGCAGGACTTACGCATTAATTGCCTGGAACTATTTTCGGCATGGCAAACATGCAAATGTCCGGTCCTCATGGAAGTCCTGGCTGAATATGTTCCCCTCCACAAATCAAACTGGCATTCGGTAGGTAGAACCTACCGAGCGAGGGGAACATTCACATGTAACCAGCTGCATCATACGAACAGTGGTTTTCACGTAATTAGACGCGAACAGAGACCGGCTCTTGCTGCTGATTTCATGGAACTCTGAATTGGATACCTCCACATGGCGAGCCGGTCAAACTTCTACACAATGCGACACAGAAACTGCCAAACGGAAATTTGTGAGATTTGGATATATGACTACCAGTATCCTCAGCTACCCAGGGATGTTAATGTTATATTTGTATGTATTATAGAAAGTACTTTTCTGAAAATGTTATAAATTGTAATGTTTCTGGCCAACAGATAATTGAGCTTAGTATATTGCTGAAACTCAATCATCTAGCCTGGCCCAGAGGAGGAGTCTGTTACTGTTTAAATTGAATGCCTGTTGCTTTCAGTAAATCAGTCTTGTTCCAGCATTAAGCTTTGGCTCATGTGTGGATTATTCGGCGATACCACACTTCTTGTGGAGTATTGGGTGATTTTATTTTATGGGAAGAAGGGAATACTTGACGGTGATACCGTATACTACTGTCACAAAAACAATCACAGAGGATCTACTTAAATGGAACAAACCTCTGTTAGAGTGGCTATCAAGCATCCACATCCTAAAAATGAATGTTCTCCCCAAACTACTATACCTCCTGCAAGCCTTACCCATAGCCCTGCCTAAGACATTCACATCAATAAAACACATATTTTCAGAGTTCATATGGGCACACAAACACCCCAGACTCCCACACAAGCTCCTAGCGTTGCAAAAACCGAGAGGCGGCCTAGGACTACCCGATATTGAAACCTACCACAAAGCCATTACCTTATCCAGGATATACGAGTGGTCGCAACCAAAAAACATAAAACATTGGGTACAACTGGAAGCAAAAAAACGCAACAACTCTCCGCATTTCATAAACTCATCCAGGAGGACCCTAACAGCCTCAAACCCAATTTTTTTCTCCCGCTCGGAAGAAGAATTACAGATCACGTTCTACCCAACAAAATAAACATATTTTTACTAATATCTTTCACTTATCCATTAGTAACACCACCCACGAACACAACTACAAACAAATATTAGAGACAACAGTGGAAATCTGAGGTTTTCAGATGGCACTATACACCCTCAAACCTCCACCACCTCTTCCCCCACTCCTCTGGGGTGTGTTGGTGATGCCTCCAACAGGAGGGCACAGCGAGCCACATTTGGTGGTCATGCGACTTCATTCAGAAATTTTGGAAGAAAATTATGAATCTCATCCACATAATCCTGGAAGTTCAACTCCCCATGTCACCTAAGGTCTCTTTACATACCTGACTCCACTCTCCAAAAGCCAACGGGTACTGATAAATCACCTACTGACAGCAGCTATGCTAATTCCATTGCAATGGAAACACAGAACCCCTCCAACCCTCAGATAATGGATTCAGAGGGTGGAATCCAATAGACTCGTGAAAGAAATGAACTTGTCTCTATCATGTGCATATGCTTTCTACAATACATGCTGGTCTCCCTGGCTCAATTTTATTAAAACTGTGTCGGACAATGTCTAGAGACTCCATAATACTGTATCTACCCTGAAAAATGTTCAGTCAAATGGACAGCAATAATTATTTCTTCACTTCCATAACTACACTCTGATTTCCCTCATTTCCAAAATGCTGCATTATCATCTGCAAGCCATCAAGTAAGTTACCTTCAATCAAAAAAGAGATGCCATGCTGTTTTACCTATCTTCCTCAGAGGCGTAATTAGAAACCACAGGGCCCTGGTGTGAAAACTGCCCTGGCACCTGGTGTTCTCCCCTCCCCCCATGTGTTGCCCCAACACATGCTTAAAAACAGATTCACAAGCAGACACACACACATACATATACAAAATGTTTTAGTCACCCTCCTGTTTCCTACCTTTTAGATGCAGGAGGGCGATTTCCTGGGGTCCAGTGGCTCAGCCTGATGGAAGTCAGAGTCCCCACTCTGACTACCTCCTCTCCTTCATCCCGTGCGGCTCCCGGTGTCAGCTGGGAGGAGTGACTGGGGCAGTCACTTCCTCCCAGCTCTCAACTCATCGCATGGGGCACTATCACACTGTTAAATCGCCACATCACTGATTGTGCCTCCTGGAAATTTATTTACACCGGGTGGTCCCTTAATGTTCGGCCCTGGCGGTTGGAGTGGCGGGCCCAGTCACAGCTGTGACCCCTGCAACCACGGTAGTTCCGCCACTGTCCACAATATTCTCACTATAACTGCTAATTTGTATATAGCTTGTAAGTAATACTTATAAATGTATGCATTATGAATTTCACACAAAATGTTATACAGCCCACATCCTTATTCTACCTACTGCTTCTCTGTATTTTGTTACAGAAATGTATGTTTGTGGACTGTCAATCTTTCCTTTCCTTTTTTTATTCAGATCCATACCTACATCCTGATTATCTCAGCAAACATTTCCAAAATGTTTCTACAACTATAGTTAGTTTTAGCAAGCGCTTGGGCATCTACTAAACAGTGAACTGTTAGTGTTAGCATGAGGGTTAGATAAGACGAGGGTGACACAGATAGGGTTACCAAGAAATAGTATATCTGGGAAGCACATACAAGCATGGCAAAACTAGGGCGTATCTTGAATGTGACGCAGTTGCAAAGCAATAGAGGAACAATGAAACTGAAATGTATATAGTAACATAAGCCTTTATTATAAAATTGCCAAATGATTGATCAAGCAAGGTATCCAAAACTTTAAAAATGCAGTGACATGTATTTCCTTGTGCCAGGCAGTTTTTTTTCTGCCTCTAGCCATGATCAAATCGATTGTGTCGGTGATGCTGAAGGGGAAGTGGGGGTTTAGGGCGAGGTAGGGAGCATCATGTCTACACCACCATTGGATTAGAATAAAGGTCCCCTCATGGTCCAGTGCTCATTAGTGAATCAGAGTGCAACCTGATTAAAGGACCACTATAGTGCCAGGAAAACAAACTTGTTTTCTTGGCACTATAGGGTCTTTAGGTCCCCCCACCCTCAGGGTCCCATTCCCGCCGGGCTGAAGGGGGAGGAAGGGGTTAATCACTTACCTTTCCCCAGCGCCGGCATCACTTGGCGCTGGGGAAATCTCCTCCCTCTTCTGATGTCAGGGCTGAATGTGCATGCGCGGCAAGAGCTGCATGCGGATTCAGACGGTCCATAGGAAAGCCTTTCTCAATGCTTTCCTATAGACGTCAGCATCTTCTCACTGATTTTCACAGTGAGAAGCGCGGAAGCACCTCTAGCGGTTGTCAATGAAACTGCTATGTTTACAGCTGCAGGGTTAACCCTAGATGGACCTGGCACCAAGACCACTTCATTGAGCTGAAGTGGTCTTGGTGCATATAGTGGTCCTTTAACTACCACCTTAGTCCCTTGGACAAGTATTTTATTTTATTTTTTAAATATTTACGCCCCTTTACTACTTACCTTATATTTGCAGGGTCTTCATTCACTAAGACATCTGTTTTGCAACTTGCCAGAGGATTAACGGATAACTCAGCAGGAGGCACCACAAAACTCTTACTGACAGGAAGCCATAATCCTTGACCTGGACTATATGTAGACCTGCAATATTGAAGAAATGGAAAATATATTATTATTTTTTTATTTTATTTTTATCATACAATGATCTACACCACTTTGATTATATTACAGATGAGATACATGACTTACTAATTGATTACTTAATATTTGACTGATGACTGAAACTTTTATAATGATTTAATATTTTGGAAATGTTTCAATATTTTGATATTTTTTATATTGATATGTTTTGATATTTTAATATTTTGAAAAAAAAAATCACTTTAAAGGTTTATCAAAAAATATTACATTAAAGTGACACTATAGTCACCTGAACAACTTTAGCTTAATGAAGCAGTTTTGGTGTATAGAACATGCCCCTGCAGCCTCACTGCTCAATCCTCTGCCATTTAGGAGTTAAATTCCTTTGTTTACGAACCCTAGTCCCTGCATGTGACTTGCACAGACTTCCATAAACACTTCCTGTAAAGAGAGCCCTATTTAGGCTTTCTTTACTGCAAATTCTGTTTAATTAAGATTTTCTTATCCCCTATTATGTTAATAGCTTGCTAGACCCTGCAAGAGCCTCTTGTATGTGATTAAAGTTCAATTTAGAGATTGAGATACAATTATTTAAGGTAAATTACAACTGTTTGAAAGTGAAACCAGTTTTTTGTTTTTTTTCATGCAGGCTCTGTCAATCATAGCCAGGGGAGGTGTGGCTAGGGCTGCATAAACAGAAACAAAGTGATTTAACTCCTAAATGACAGTGAATTGAGCAGTGAAATTACAGGGGAATGAGCTATACACTAAAACTGCTTTATTTAGCTAAAGTAATTTAGGTGACTATAGAGTTTCTTTAAGGCCATAGTGTTAACGCCATGAAATTTCTAGCAACCTTAATTAAGTCCTTGAAGAGGATATCAGTTTCCACGATTATTTTTTCCTTTTGTGTAATATCAGATTGATGTTTTGATGATTTCTTGTTCCTTTATTGATTAGTACTTATTGGTATAGTTTGCCTATAGTTGCCTATAATTCTTGTGCACTTTCTGGTCACTATTTATATAATTGTTTCCCCCTTTCTCACCTTCCTATCCTACCTTTTACCTTGTACTTTTCAGTTGGTGGATTCCCCCCTGGGTCTCTATTATCTGGCTGCCCCCTTGTGTTTCTGGGGCTTGGGCACAGTACAGAATACTGGAGAGTGAGCCCCTCTCATGAAGACTGCCTCATATAAACTGGGAAGTTGGGGGTGAGTCCCTACATTACATATGACAGCTTATCTCATTATATTTTATTATTTTTTTTATAATTATATATGGGCTTCCCTGATTTCTAAGAGCGCCCTACTTCATGCTATCTACTACTATTACTGGAATGTATTCTGTATGAATATTACTGGGTGAGCCCCAGTTATTACAGCTATGTATAAAATTTACCCTAGCAGATGCTGTCTGCAACTATACGGGCCTATATCCTATACTATGTTACTGGGGGTGAACCCCCCATCCATATCATTACATATCCTGGTACCTTTCTTGCCTGTTTTTGGCTCTTGGATCTGACTGGCACGGTTACAGCTCAGATGATTGGCCTTTTCTGTGCCACTGTATCCTCTACTAGATATTCTCCTGGAGGTTGTATTACTACTGGGTGAGCCCCAGTTATTGTTGATATGTATATTATTTACCCTATTGGATGTTGTCTGCTACAATTACTGTCCTATTTTTCGATACTATATTACTGGAGGTGAACCCCACCATCATATTATTACACATCCTGGTACCTTACCTTGCCTGGCATTGGCTATTTGAGCTGGCTGTCACGGCCACAGCTCCTATGATTGGCCTGCTTTATCTGTGTCACTGCACCTGTCTACTGGATATCCTCGTGGAGGTTGTATTATTACTGGGTGAGCCCCAGTTACTACAGATATGTATATTGTTTACTTTAGTGGATGCTGTCTGCTAACATTACTGTCCTGTTTTATATACTATATTATTGGGGGTGAGCACCCCATCATGTTATTACAGATCCTGGTACCTTACCTTGTCTAATATTGGCTATTTGATCTGGCTGTCACTGTCGCAGCCCTATGAGTGGCCTGTTTTGTCTGTGCACTGTACCTCCCTATTAAATATACTACTGGAGGTTTTATTATCACTGGTTGAGCCCCAGTTATTAAGGATAGGGTTGTGTGTGTATATATAATTTTATTATCTGCATGGCATTGAGCAGGCTTTTATTTACACCAATATGAACAACCAGGCATTTTCTCCTGTCAGAGGAATAAGAAGATTCTGATGCCTCCAAATACAGACATGCACAATCCTGCAAGCACTACTGGACAGAGGAAGACCCACTAATTCATGTCGGAAAGTGCATGGCACACACCAAGTGCCTGAAAAAAAACCAGATTCTCTGGTCAGACCTACGGTTCCTACCCAGTATCTATTTGGTATACATGGCAGGAGCAACGCTCAATCTCAGAAGATGAGAATAGATGACAAGGTTCAGAGGTGGAGTACTCTCCCTTTGTACACAAATCATTCATGAAAGCTTCCCTTGATTTATTTCCTGTGCAACCACCTACGTCAGGTCCAAACGGCAACATCTGCTTGGATTTGATGGCAGAAACCTCTCTTCGACCTGCTTTCCATCTGCCACCCTAAGTCACCCGAAAGCTGGCTCCCGATCATTTGGGCCACTATGTACATTACTGGACACGTAGATCCCTAGACCGGGGAGTGCATACCATGCCTCCCTGATAAGATCGCAATGATCCCAAAGTGTGATCGAAGGAACGCCACCTATCTCCGTTCAGTGTATATTGATATTTAGCATTGTCTAGTAGGACTATAGGAGGGAAAGATCAGTGTTAATAAAGACGGTCCCTGACGGCAGCTTTGCATATGGGCTACATCTGCTACACATACTTTGGAAAATCGGGACCTGAGCAGCCTGAGACTGGCTTAAATCAAGTTATTTTACGTTCCTGAAACCCTGGCTAATTCTGCGCTTCTAGCAGATGCAGCCCATATGCAAAACTGCCGTCAGGGACCGTCTTTATTAACACTGATATTTCCCTCCTATAGTCCTACTAGAAAACGCTAAATATCAATATACACTGAACGGAGATAGGTGGCGTTCCTTCGTATAGATGCCGAGACTGCAGACCCTGAATTAAGAATGGGGTACCTTGACCTAGCACCTAGACTTTGGAGAAACATTATTAAAGAATCCACGAACACATGGACTTACACACCACACTCAATAGAGCCCACTCTTCAGTGTGACTAGCTTTTTATCAGACCCCATCTTGTTTTTTTCTGAACAACAGCGGAGTCATTACTACAGCCATTTTGAACTATTCCATTCCATCACTATACAGACATCATTACCACTAAACCAGTTCTGGACGGCAGACCACAAGGCACTTGTAGACGTCAAACTTCAGACCCTGGCCGACTAAAGAGTGTGTCAGCTTCCCATCTGACTCTGGAGGTTTCTATGGATTCAGCCTTCTTATTCATTAGTTATATAGCTAAAAAGAGACTTTTGAACATAAGTTCAGCCTTCCTCACATATGTTTTTGCTGTTGATCCAAAAGAAGGCAAAAAGACAGTCTGAAGCACTTCCAATTTTGCAACAAACTCTAAAAAAATGTATTCTTGACCCCAAAATAGCAGTCAGATATCTCCTTGGATCCAGCAGCAATTACCCCATTAATTAGAAATGATATCCCTGTAGTTTAGACACTGTCTTTAACCTCCAGAATCTGTAGTTTTCTGTTCCATGTACCAATGTTTGCTGTTTTTTTCTGGGGAACGACCGGCCCGGCCAGGTCAACCTATCTATTCTCCAATATAAGTGTGGGCTCTTGGTGATTCCCCAACTGCTAAGACCAGTGATAGCTCATCTTCGTTTACAATTACTTCATAGCCGGACTCCTTATTACTCTCTCGCGAGGATGCCCTGGACTGATTTCAACCTCACTTTTTACGATCCCCTTGTTCATATACCTAGGGCTTCACAGTCTTCCAAAGAAAGTCGACCCACATCCCATTCCAGGTGGTGAAGTTTTGGGGTTCAGGATAGACATGCCCTTATGAGTGCTTTGACAGCAACAGTGATAATTATTCCCCAATTTGCATGGTGAGCCGGATAATTCTATGGCAGATCAGATTCCCCTATGCCTGCAGAGTAGACATATTTTCAGATGATACCACTCACCTCGGAGGTCAATGGGGAACATGGGAGACTTTGTTTTTATGCCCCAGACTTGGTCGTGGCTCCAAACACAAGTCTTGAGATTGGGGAACTGCTTGCGCGACCACATTGTCTGATAGTCCTTGGACACTCGGATCAGGTTTTCCTTTTGCAATCTCAAGTTTTACCGATTCCTTTAGCAGACTGTTACATCCTCCTGAGAATGGACACCATATTGGCATTGCATTGCATAGACAGTCTTGAGCCCGGTCACATGTTACCAGGTACAGTGAGTTCTGAGGCGGATTTACTTTTTCCCGGAATTGGAGGTACATCAAGGACTGGCGTCTCTGTTGATCGCATTTCTGTCACATCTCTCTGACGAAGGATCCATTCAGGATGACTCTATTGGCCTGCTGGGATAATTACCAATGGAACAAGCATTGTTTTCTTTGTTGACTGAGCATTAAAACCGCAAATATGAAGCCTTCTGTCAAGTTATAAAATTGTAGATTATGCTAGCTTTAGCTTTAATTCAATTAATGACAGGAGGCGAATATTTCCCTCCCAGTTTTTTTTCATCCCTACCCTTATTTGATCTCTGGTCAGAAGTTTGGGTTAATCAGGTATGTATGCAACTCTCCTTGTTGTTTCTGCTACCTGTCACTTTTCATGTTACTGTTTCTTACATAGAACAGTTGGGACAGCAATACTGTTTGTCACACTTGGGGACTGCATGTTTTTTTTCAGAGTACATTTCATTATCTAACCAGCCCTTTTGACTATGTTTTTCTCGTTTCAGTTTATAATCGGTCCGTGGCACCACGTTTG